AAGTTACTCGCCGGAAGTGAGGCTTCACGCACCTCCACTCACAGGTATTTAGTTTTTGAACCGCCACGCATGCGGCATGAGGCTTCCCTCTTCTTTCTCTCTTCCCTCTCTAGCTGGGAGTCTTAGAATACGAGGGTTAGCCGCTAAGCCTCTCTGGCGGTGCGGTCCAATCCGTTTCACAAAGTCATCATCTAGTCTCGCCGACAAAACGTCAGTTCGACTCGTAACATAGGTGCGAAGTTTGATGAAAGTCCGTTACAGGATACACACACCTACACATACTCCACCCGTCCTGCGACATGTCTTTTGTTTGCCTGGGCTATTTACAAAATCATGACGCGAAGAACCAACAGCACAGCAGTGAACGATGCAGGTGATTGGACAGTCATGACCATGAGGAAAAGAGGAAAATCAGAAGAGTTTATGTTGAATATATGCAACCTTGTGAAATAATAAGGAAACGCACCAATGAAGATATCCGCTGTGCGTATTAGTAGACGAAACTGTTGGAAATATGTATAATGAATTTAGGAATTGTAGTCGACTACAAATTGGTTTCAGCTCTCAAAGAAGAATACTGAACCGTGATCAGGGACATACAGTGGGTGTAGGAGGGGTTTGGGATTTGATTGATTTATCTTTAGGAAACTATGCGATGCTGTAGATTGCAACATCTTAGACACGAAATGTAGCATAAGACAAAATTGAGCGAAATTCCATTCATTCACTCATGATGACTTCACCATGGTGACGTTAGTAGCGAAACGCGTCGAATGCTACTAAGATTTTTTCATGCCTGTTCTAACTTTGTGTTTTCTAGCCATGCATGAAGCAAACAATCCGTTCATAAATTATGGATCCGAAATCAAGATGTGCTTTGCAAGCAAATTCTAGAAATTCAAATTATCTTGCTGTATGCAGATATCGCGATCATTCCATCTGTTTAATCGTAAGAAATTCGGTTATCAATATTTATTAGTTCTATGCAGGAAGGTGGTTCTTTCTGTTTTTAGCAGTCGCATACATACAGCGTACAAGAACAAGACAGTTATTACATAGTAGCTACAGAAAGCAACAGACGACACTTTAAGGCAAGCCGATCCATAGTCTTATGAATTAAGTGCCTTAAGGCTGAGTTTCTGTATAAGTCACTTCATTGTTTTCTGAATGACAAAGTTTCCTAGTGTAGTGAAACTCCAATAGTAGAAGGCGTTAAATCTGTTTGAAGCTGATTGGGGATACCTTGAAATGAAAGGAGAAAACGAATATTTGTAACATTGCAGTGTCCGTCTCACTTGCAGTTGCATTAGGGTGGCAGTTGTTGCAATTGTGTTTTCATGAAGTTAGTCGTGGGGACGCTGATCTCCATTTTTAGGTCATAAACCAGTAGTGCCTTATTTTTCTAAGAGGCACATTCGACAGCAGCTATGTAATAAGCATGATCTGTATTCTCCTGTTTCCTTCCCAATCATTTATTAGAGTGGTACTCATATATGAATCTCGGAAGAATGAAAGGAGAGTGATCCTGACCGTTGCTCAGACCCAGTATCTCTGGGTCTGACGCTGTACCGACCGAGTAAGCCCGGTATAAAGTAACGTATGGTCAGTTCGTTACTCAAAAGAATTTGTGGTACGGACAGTGGTTGCTCGCCGCTCAGGAATCGAACTGGGCACCTCCGAAGTTCGAAGCTGACCTCTTACGCACTGTCATCACACCTCTATCTTGCGATATGCTTTCAGCGAAGAAGACAGAACTGTGACGGACAGCCTGCACAAGACTGTATTTTCCACGAGATCGTATTGCAGTGCTCCAAGTCTGACGATTGTCTTAGTACATCATCACAGGAGCGAAAAATTACCTCCCATTAATTCTCCAAAATAAACTGCAAAAACAGGTGATAGAACTGAGTTACAACATCCACCCTATAAATCACTAGCGCAAATTAAACAGACTTCCAAGCAAACGAAGGTAGAAAGCTTAGCTTAGCTTTCCTCAGCACACAGTGATCCAATGTCACGCAACTGTTGTGAGTTTTGGTCATTAGAGTGGCATATTGCTTACTGCTTACGCTGGTACTCTGCAATAGTCTATAGGATGTAGAAAAGAACATCAGCGAAAGTAGAAAAGAACTCATCCCGTTGATTGGCACCAATGAAAAATTAACGAGTATGGTCTTAATTATATTTTCGCCTCTGTCCAGTTCAGCTGTTACGCGTTGAGTAATCTGTACAAGTCCGTCGATTGTACCTCTTTCGGTTCTAGAACCAAATTTTAAGGCATCTTGAAATTGATCGAACAGTTCACAGAAATCGATAGTTCGAACCCTTTCAAAGTTGCCGAAGTAACCATAATCGGTATGTGGTGTTTTGCTGCCACTGCCAGCAGGGTTGTTCCTCTTCGGTACTGGTAACACCATGCCAACAGTGTGAAAGTATTTTAAGCATTTGTTGAAAGTGTCACTGAGCATGTCTGGCTCACCTGAGCAGTATTTCAGGAAATGGGGTGATTGACGAGCGTAGTCTTCGAAACAAATGTTCAGCGAACTTCAGATGGGGAAAAAGTTGGATTTTTATTATCATCGAAAATGGTTCAGTCGTAGTTTTTGACGGATATCGGTGAAATCCACGCTCCATGTGATTTGCGATAAATAAGACCAAGAGTGTAAGGACCTTCGGCGAATGTCACCATTTTGAAAGTCATGTTTATGACCGGTGCAGGAATAATCAGTCTCTTGGCGTGTCCGTTCACTGCGTGAAGGAAATCAACCGAAGATTGATCAACCGAGGTGCAGTTTCTTAGTCACGGTAGTGTAGGTGTGGACGCTATCTGCTCAGAATGGTCTCGTCACAACTTACAAACAGAATTTGCTCAGAGCATATGGAATAGTGAAAATAAAGTCGATAAAATAGAAGCACTGGCAAGTTTATTACTTCCCGAATGGGATATTTATGATCTCTCTGTTCCCATCTCCCGGCCGTCCGATAACCTAGGTTAGATACGTCAGAATGGACAGACCTTGCGTACTCTGGTGACCTTAAGCTTACTTGTAAATTGAAATTCCCATGAAATGCACTGTCGCGTCGGTATTCTATTGTATGATAAGTAGACGAATCGCAGTAACTGCAGACCGATCGCTTTGCTGCCAGTCACCTGTAATCCTTTACGAAGGCACTGTCGAATGGACTTCAGCAGTTGCCGGGATCTGCGCAATCAAGAGAGCGAACGAAATTCAAAATCTGATTTATTAACTTGGATCACTTTCAGGAGATAAATGCGAATTGTGATACGCTGAAGTGACAAGTATCGGTTTCCTTTGCCTGCGGTTCTTTTACTTTACGAGACTTTCGGCTCAGTTTATATGCCGATGTTGATAATTTGTTCTGGTGAGGTAGACGATATTCGAAGCGTACAGTAACCTCGTTGCTACGATATTAAATGGGCACAATTGGTACTGTAAAGCTTTACGAAAGTACCAGCAAATTCATAGTCGATTTACAGCCTGGTCAGAAAGGGTTCTGCAGTATCATTGATCGAAGCTGTTCACAGTAGCTGGACAGGAAGTTTTGAGGGTACTCAATACATTGGACAGGGAAAATCAGCCGCTAGTGATTTTCTTTTTAAACCGCCTGCAAACTTGAATATAAATCTGAAAAATACTGCAGTCGTTTTCAACAGATACGTGACCGGAAGCAACTGTTGAATGCAGAAAACTGAAATAAACTGAAATGGTGTCTAACAGCGACCGACTGAGACAGCTGGTTTCTGCAATGGATAACGTAACGAACGCTGGGAAGTTAAGAGCGTAGTTGAAATTGCATGAAGCACGCTGGACCTCATAACGTTTTTCGGAAGCAACCCTTATGAACCGCGAAATCGACATGTCATCGTAAACCGTCAATGGATGACAGTTCAAGAAAATCAAAACGTTCGCCTCAGCGAGACCAGGCACTTTAGAGACCGTGACCTTGAAGCTTGGTGCCGACTTACTTTCTAAAGTCTCTGCCAGACTGTGCAAGTGCAGCCTATGAGAAGGTGCAGGACTAGATTAATGGTTTTTGGTGCGAATTACGTCTATCGTTATATCTCGTAGGTCGTCAGTAGCTGTCTGGAAACCCACTGCAGTGGCTCCAGTGGCATTTAAATGCTTGGAGAGAATCGTTTCGCCGTAGGTTTATTCCATAGTGTTGAAAGGTATCGATCCGTCGCAATTCAGACTCTTACCGTGACGCAGTACTCTGGATGCGTTGACTGCAGTGGTCAGCTTTATTGCCAGCAACCTCGACGAATGACACGCAGTAGTAGGGATATCTTTGTGAGTTGAAGTTTAACCTACCCTCAACCCGTGCTGCTTAGAGTTCAGCTGCTCAGACTGTAGGGAAGCATCGGCGTGGAGTCACACATCGTGAACCTGCTGACCACGTATTACGTGAGATTGTGATGGGAGGTTTACGTCGGCATGGAGAAATTTATGACTCGCGTGACCGCGCACTGCTTCGTACAAAGATCCTGTTTTTCACTGCATTGTTTATCCGGCACACATCGCGACGTCACCCTTCTGATGCTAC